GCTGTTCCCGTTCCCGTTCCCGCCGTGCGGGAATCGAACCCGCAAGACGTTGCACGGCAGCTAGTTGCCCAGCCACCGTACCAACCGTGCAGTCTTGGTGTTGGGTTTGGGCTTCCGAGATAACTTCACTTACATGGCAAAACACGATGCAAGCGATTTTTCACGCTGGTTTCCTATGAGGCCGCGGTATCTCTTCCTACAGGTCGGCAAACGAGCATGCAGATTACCTGATAGTAAGCAATCAGCGACGCCCACAGACGACGCACGACAGAAGTGTTACGAGTGCGTTGCCAAACTTTTGGGGATTAGAGATTTGGGAGATTTAGGGATTGGGGAGGGTTTTAGACGGGCCTCCGGTAACCTCACTCACACGGCGAAATACAACGCTGTGGTTGTTTCACACCGGTTTTCTGTGAGGCCGTGGTATCACTCCGGTCGAGCCGGCCCATTCGTGCCGAAGCATGGCTCTCCCACACTTACTACACTGCTCTTTGATCGAGCAGGTCTATTCGTGCTGAAGTACCTATCATGGCCCTCCCGTGCTGCTACTATAAAACCAAAAATGGAAGTACAAGACTATTTTTAAATTATACACACATAAACTAACTGGGCTGTGAAATATTTTGTATTTTTCCTGGCTACTATAAAATCAAGAAAAGATCTTTGAGCTTTAATGAACACAACGTACGGATATTGATTTGCCTTAATCTTACATTAATACTTTTCTAAATAACATTAATTTACAACATCCAGACCTCATATAAAATTATATCATCAAATCCAAAGGTAATTCTTAAGCTATTCTCTATTTGTCAATACCATGTGTCTCCGGAACCTGAGTCGGTCACTTGAAAAGGGTTGACGTTAATACAAAAGGCCGAAGGATTAATTTACTTCGCACTTGCGTCTGGCTTATGAAAGGAACCATAACTAATGTTGTAAACGGTTACAATTGTACGGTCGATGAGTTTCTGATCTCTTGGAGTAAGATCACGTCTTTATTTTGTATCTCGTAGTCTGTTTTTTTGAAGAGGCATGTGTAAATTTTTTAAGGTCATTTGTTACATGACAAAATTTTACATCGTCGTGTTTGGTGTAATTCTTTTGTTATTTTTTTATATATATTTCACGAAGGGTACTAAGGTACTAACTAAGGTAAATGAATGTCACTATGGTCACAAAGCGCTGATTGGTAACTGTGATACATTTTTTATTTTACCATGTGAGGGAAAAAAGTACAATGACATCATCAAGTAATTCGGTTGCCCATTTGCAAATCAAAAAGTTAATTAAAAAATACTCACTTCAATTCACATTCACTTGTACTCCAACCCAACTCCAGCAGTATTTGAGCATTCTGATCTAATCTTTATCGAAAACAAATTACAAGGTTAATTCAAAATTCTATTTATACTTTGCAAAATCAAACTTTGAATTGAGAACGCAATCGATGTTCTTGTTTGAATAGCTCTCTTAATCACTTACCGCCATTCTTGTAGTCATTGGTCAAAATTAATTATCTTTAAAAAATCTGTGTCAGTGTCAGACTCTTACACCACCCCGTTCTTTCTCCTGCTCCAGGCCACAAATGTGGTATCTTAGGCTACCATAAGCGCGGGTCTGTGACGGCGAGTAAGGGTAGATCGCTGCCCGACCAGAAACAGACCCAAGCTTAAGGCGTGTTGCGTTCCGCGTCTGATAAGTTATATAACCAAAGTTGTGGTATATGATTGCGTTTGACCCGCAACCCCGGTTGACTCGAAAATTTTGCTGCTTCTCGTCCTGTTCAAATCAAATCAAAATAATTTATTCTAACTAAACCATATAGGCAATAGGTACTTTTGAAACGTCAAAATAGAATAGTAGTCTGTCAGTCTGTTCGTCAGTGAAGCTAGGTGCTCGTTCCAAATTGTAGTTTCGAATGGAGAAGAACGAGCAAGAAACTCCATCGTTACTCTTTTTAAAATAATATTTGTTTAACAATTCACCAATAATACATTTTTTAAACATTATCGTACCCCTATGTGAGAACAATGCTGAGACAAGTTGTTGTTGTTGTTGTTGTTGTTGTTGTTGTTGTTGTGTTGTAGGAAAAAACCTAGGAACAGTTTTATTATTTTAAAAATAATGTCTGTGTGTACGGTAGCTAGAGGAATATATCAATAATTGATATTTTATCATGACTTAAATTATATCAAACGCCTTACAAGAAACTTTCTGTTTATTCGGAATTTCAAATTCAAATTGTTTTATTTGCTTGACAGCCTCGTGGATCGAGTTTGCCGATGGTTGTCGATACGATCTTAGAGTTAAATTATTATTACATTTTATGATTTATCGTTTTTTTTTTAAATATCAGTACATAGCACGGTGTCCAAGCAAGGCAATTGGTTTGGCTCACCGTGTTGTCATCGTGGTGGCTTGGAAGTTAAGGCGCCTGCTTTTCATGCATGAGGGGTGGGATTGACACCTGGCAAGTACATATGTTCTGCGAAGAAAATCATCGTGAGTAAACCTGGACTTATCATTTCTTATTGTAAGTTTGAAATCGCCAATCCGCCTTGAGTAATCGTGGTAATTGATGCTCAAACTTTCTTCGTGTGAGAGAGGCTTTTGCTCAGCAGTGGGCACTTATAGGCTGATGATGTGAAGTGGCTCACCCGATTTTCATTAAACTTCAGGCGGCAACATGTGTTAATTTTCTTAGAACTCTTTAATTTCTAATTTCAAGTTTCAATTCAATTACTTTGATTGTCTCACACTTCGATTATATTGTTCCTTTAACTTGTCAGTTGGCTGAACGTAAACAGTTAATTAAATATTTATTACTTTCGGTGCTACGTTTCTTGTAGTGTATTTTGGTGTTTGAAACATGTTTTGGAATTAGTAAGTATTCCACATCAGTGCCGAATACTCACCGCACCATTATAAAAATGAATCAAAAAAATTGTTTTTTGATGTCTTTTCTAGTTCTTGTACACCTACGACCTATGTGTCGTGGTGGCCCAGAAGTTAGGGCGCCCACTTCTCATGTAAGAGTCGAAACGCGGCGGAGCCAAGCGGCGAGGGCGGAGCGAAGCGGGTCGAAACCTGGCAAGTTCAAATGTGACTTTTTCTGAGTTATGTGTACCTTCTATAATTATTTAGACACCACTGACAAGCGATGAAGAGAAACATCGTGAGGAAACCTGGACTTATAATAATTCCTTGTTATAAGTTTGAAATCAATCTGCCTTAAGAAAGCGTGGTGATTAATGCTTAAACCAAGCGTGGTGATTAGGCTGATGATGTGTACATACCTACAAAAGTGGTAAATAATGCGTATGGTATTTTTATGTGCAATCGACCGAGGAGTTACGAGTGCGTTGTTGAGTTGCGATGGGGGTTTCAGATATTTAGGGATTTGGGAGGTATTGAGGTATGGGAAGGAGTGGACCTCAAGTGTTACTCATAGGGCGAAGCACAACGCTGCGGTTGTTTCATGCCAGTCTTGTGTAAGAAATACTTATTGTGTTTACAAAGAAAATGGGCAACCGCTAATTATTAGCGCTAATAAAGACCTAATAAATTACTCAAATACAAAATAAAATTCTTCTGATATAAATTACTTAACAAAAAAGAAACGCTTGATAAGATTATTCAATAACTTTTACAATACTTTTTCTAGTTCATTGAATTAAGAAAAGAACTGTTTGAAACTTTGCCTAACAAATCCAAATTATCTGGAAGAATTAACATAGTAATACTTTTATTCAGTCCTCACAGAGAAGTCAATTGGTTTTGTAAAACGTTTTTAATTTATCGATATATTCGATACTAATGATTACGATAATTTTTCAATCGAGTTAATTGATTAGGAAATTCACTCAATAAGCTACTGATGAAAACGATGCTTTGAATGCAGCTTAAGGAAGAAATTTTTGATATCATATCGAAAAATCACCAGCCAATTGCTGAGCAAAGGCTTCTTTCAACACGTACAGGACTGGAAGATGGAATTACCAAGCTTGCTCAAGGTAGATTGGTGATTTTAATTTCGTTGCATTACGATGTCTATCTTCATGTATGTTAGAGTCAGTGGTCAGTTTAATCAATGACATACGAGTATTGAGGTTGTTTTTTTTTAGGGGGAACATCACGCTCTGTTTCAAATTTCAAACTCTTACAGTCTAAAATCCACCCCGTTCCTTCTACTGTTCCGGGACGGTCACAGTAAATTACTGCACCCAAAACCCCGCCAGCTTGTATTAATTCATAAAATCCCAAGCGAACGCTAGCCACCTATTGTTCTTATATAGTGTCTCGAATTGCCACGACTGAAAGGTTAAAATGTGGCAATGTATTTTACTACTTATCAACTTTTTTATCAAACATCTATCGCATTGAATCTGCATAGATTGACGTCATCGTAACTGATAGCACTATCGGTCATTTGTTAGAACTATAGGCTTATGTTCAATAGTGGAAACCTTTTCGCAAACCTCCTCAGATCGTATTAATTCATTAAACCCCAAGCGAACGCTGGCATTTGCACACCTATTGTTTTTATATAGTGTCTCGAATTGCCACGACACGAACTATAGGTTATTGGTTTGAACTAAAGGCTTATGTTCAACAGAACACATCTTGTGGCTGATAATGTCGACGATAAAGATGATGAATGTGATCAATAACACCACAAGCTGAAAGAAACTAATTATGATTTTTTTATGGAATAATTCGGTATACTGGCAGACGGATTACCCGATGGCAAGCAATCGGCACCGCCCATAGACACCCGCAACGCCAAAGGAGTTACAAATGCGTTACCGGCCTTTTGGGAATCATGCTATGATTGCCAAATTTCAGCACGACTTCTCACAGTTCCACTTATAAACACATCAATTTAAACACAAGCAAACAAAACACAACAATAATTGTAATACTCGATCAAAATTCTAAACAACCTCACACCGAAGCGTTTGATTTACAAACTTATGATTAAAATCAATGTTTATTCATCAGTCTGCCTTAAGCTTCTTTAAAGTTGTACAATTTATACAGACATAATAAATAAGTGCTATGAATATAAATATTAAAATGAGTAGACTGGATATTAAAATGAGGGCTAAATTTAATTCGTGGTACTCCGACCACGGCATGTTGGCTGCAGGTCCACGCAGATGTCTCGCGCCGCCGTGACGCAGCACGTGCTCCGTCCACCATATTGCTCGTTCTAAAGGACGCATTGGCTGGTCATGTATTAATGTTTGAAGCTTCACAACGTTTTGACGATAGCTAGGGAAAGAAAAATTCAAATAAGAGAATAGCTAGTTGCTAACAGCTAAGGGAACCCGTCAAAAACTGGTTTAGTTGTGTCTATTTGATATCGCTAATTCTATTCAAATAAACCATTTGAGTAATTTGGAGTGACGGATGAATCTAATTTCTATTAAGTTTTTCCCTAAAAACTTTGAAAAATATTTAATCCAATTTAATAGACCGCTAACCCATTCCATAGTTTGAAGACTGTACATAATATTAAGAAGAAGACTTGTATAAGGTAATCCAAACTTTTTAATGGTATAAGCCGGCAAACGAACTGACGGATTACCTGATGGTAAGCAATCGGCGCCGCCCATGGACACCCGTAACACCAAAGGAGTTACGAGTGCAATGCCGGCCTTTTAGGGATGTGGATTACGGATATAAGGACCGGGACGGGCTAGGGGAAGGGGAGGGATTGGGTCTCCGGTAACCTCACTCACACGGCGAAACACAACGCTGTGGGTTGTTCCCGCTGGTACTCTGTGAGGCCGTGGTATCACTCCGGTCGAGCCGACCCATTCGTGCCGAAGCTTGGCTCTCCCACACTTTAATTGTGTCTGTCTATCTGTCTTTTCTTTACGCCTAAACTACATAACCTATTTATGTGAATTTTGGGAACCCGAGAAAGGGCATAGGATAGTTTTTAAACTAAAAAAATGCAGGAAGTCACTATACCACGCGAACAAAGTCGCGGGCAAAAGCTTGTACAGTATAAATTCGACTTAACAAACAAATTGTCACTAAAAGAGCATTTACAAAAAATCTGCCTTTAAGTATTACGATGGCATACATACATACCTCTCATCTCCAATTATCTTAATAACAGCATTTTCGAATTTTTCTTCAGTAAAAGTATCCCAATCAATTCTGATTCCTATTCTATGATATTCATATCTTTCCACATTAAACCATTGATCGCCTAGCATTGGTAGACCAATCAGAGGCACTCCTGCTGTAATAGCCTCGTCGGTAGATTGTAAACCTCCTTGTGTTATGAAAAGTTTAATTTTCGGGTGACCTTAAAAAGGAGTAATTATCTAATAATATTTATTTCTTTTAAATATTTTAGTCTTTTAGATGTGATTAAATCTCATAAAATAGTATCAGTTTACAACGATATGAACTGATAAGTCCTAATAAACGTTCAATGATTCGGGAGACTTAGTTCATACAGTTTCCAATAGATGGTGCTGTAGCCAATTGAGTTTTAAATTATTTCGACATTACTGTATAATATTTTAACTATATGTGATAAAGATCTTTTAGAATCGATTAAGTTTGGCTTAATTAATATAGACAGTTATTTATAACTGAATTGGTTACTATTATTTTTTTTACTTGCTATAAACTAGTGCTTGACTGCAATTCTACCTGATGGTAAGCAGTGATATATGGACAAACACTATTTTTAAATTGAGTTGGGGCCTCTCTGTAGACTTAAACATAATTATTATTAAAAAATGAAAGTAATAAACTTACGAAGTAAATCTGACTGTGGTAGCCATTTTGAAACTCGAATATTTTTAGGTTGTCCAGGTAGTTCATCGTAATCCCACTTAAATAGTACATCATATGGTAGACGAGATAACACTTTTACCATATCTTCGATTTTATTGGGTAGCTGATCAGATAACACGTTTGTACCAAAACTTACATAGATGACACCATTTTTAGAGTTGTCTAAATAGTTTTTAAGGTCCTGAAATAGAAGTATTTTGTTAAGTTTCTTTTTAACTTTGGCGATCTCTTTTCAGTGTCCTTATAACTGTAGCATGAATGAAATGAAATGAATTCATGCACGAAAAGTCAGCTAGTACACACTTTTGCACATAGCATGATTTAAGGCATTTAATTTTATAGTTTTATGCTCGATTCCTCATCTGCCATAAATTTAGCAATAGCTGTTCGGTAGAAACTTTACTTACTTTTGGTAATTCCTTCACAGGATTTTGGTGCAAACCACCCATGTACACAACATTAGGGGGAACAGGACGAATACCTTCAAACACTGGATGGACATTTAGATACAACATATGAACATTTTTAAACAATTCTCCCACTTCTGGCATTTTAGCACCAATCACTTTCCTAATTGCTGCAGTCTCAGTTTCTTCAAAACTTTTATGTATCTTATTAAAGGCATAGTATTTCAAGATTTCAACAAATTTCTCCCACATTGTGATATTATTAGTTTTTTGCCGAAATATATTTGGATATAGAATAGGGTGGTCTGGCGCACCAACAGCTTCTAAGTTCCCAGGCATTGCACCAAATGAACTCACTTGTATGACAGGGGCTTTGTAGATATGGGAATATAAAAGGGCTGGTCTCACACAAGCTTCAAGAAACAAAAGATCAAACTTTTTATTTTTATCATTAATCACTTTTTGGACTTCATTATCCTGTAACTGTTGTAGGACTATTTCAAGTATTGTTGCGTAATATCTTTCAATTTGGCTCTTCAAATCATTTTGTTGTCCTTTGCCGACGGCTGTTAATAGTCTGTCGTGCCATAGTTTGTATGAAATATCGTGTACGTTGATCTCTGTGAGGTTTGTAAGTGAGTCTCTTTTTGGGAATGCGGGATCGGTAGTAATGATTGTGACGTCATGGCCTCTTTTAGCTAGTTCTTGAGTTATAGGTCTGAAGACTATTTGATGACTGATTGATGGTGTTGGAAACACTGCTAGGATTCTTGCTGCTTCATTTACACTGATTAAAACACTGGCTATATAGAAGACCAACATCCTTACACTTTGATTTTCTATAGCATACTGATTTTGAGAGGCTCCAAAATCCTTATTTTTTGTAAATAAAATAAACATCTTATTTATGTAAAGTCTATTGCCGTGACATCATCAACATCTTTCGTGAAACATTTTTATGACAGTGATTTGTACAAAATCATTTGTTTATTTCTTAATGCTAATGTGTGTGTGGACCTTGATGTTAAATGTTCTTTTTGTATTTCCTCGCTTAGTATTTTTTTTTCTGTAAAAGGGTCATATTTTCGTAATGATAGTTGATGATGAAGATGAATCAAGAATGATAAATTGCTACCTGAATCAGAATTAATTAAATTTGTAAATTAAAAATAAAATGGTAAAGGAAAAATAAGTTGTTAGTATTTAAAAACAATTAACCGAGATCTGTTTATTGTTTTTTAAATATCGGTTTCGAAATTACATATTCATATTTTTTTATAAATTTCTCAAAGATAATGTTATCATTAAAATTTTTATATTGGTGATAATTTTTTCACCAATAACATTTTTAATTTTTCATTTTCATGCCATTAAGGTTTTTTTGCTAAATCTTTGACTAGCATGTACTGGCTAGGGGCTCCAAGAGCACGTTGTTCTTAACAAAGATATTGTAAAGAGGTTGGTTGACAATTCTGCCGAATGGTTGGGTGCTACGTAAAACAATGCAAGCGTTTAAGCATTTCAGATAAAGGCACTCACACTCTTTTGGACATTCTATCTCATGGACCCTTTTTCTATGTGACAGGGCGACAACAAGCAGATGGGTCACCTGGTGGTAAGCAATCGGCACCTCTGGTCACCCACAACAACATACAAGGCCAGTCTTTTGAGAATTAAGAGTTTTAGGATTAAGGAATAAGGGATTACACACAAGGCGAAACCGACGCTACGACTTCGACTACAGTCCATCCGGCACATCCGTGCCCAAGCATGGATTCTACTTCTACCTTTACTGTCATTTCACTATTGTTTTATTAATATCTGTGATAATAATAAATGACTTATTCTCAATGTCCGTTTCTCAACTTTTATTCATCATTTATTTTTATGTACACAAATACAGTACACATGGCCACAAATTTATAAAATATAAGCATATATGGTGTTAAATATTTCAATTGAATTTCATACTGTAGACGTAAGCCAAAAAAAAAATTCAGATACTGGACCTAAGAATACAGAACAAGTATTCTGAGTACTGAACATAGTTTGCAATAAAACAGAAATCAAATACACAAGTTAAAGTAACTTTTAAATTAAATAGCAAGTAAAAGCTATGTTGCTATTTAATTTATCTGTGTAAATATTACACTATTCTATATTTATAATTATCTTTATACATATAATTCTTCTGTACGCGCTTATGCCATTGAACTCCTAAACGGCTTGACCGATTTAAATGATTTTTTCTGCATGCGTTGCCCTGCGGCGCCCTGGGTGGATTAGATTAAAAAATCAGCCCGGTAGATGGCGCTGATTGCTTGAAAATCTCGAAAACGGCACTAACGATCGATTGCTTGCTTGAAAATCCCGAAATCGGATTTTCGGGGAGTGCCCACTAGTACCTTAAAAAAATAGAGAACAATATAAATATATGTTTGTATTAATATATATTCTATTATTATATCTATCTTATTCGTGTAATAACATAAATCTTAGTTTTGTATTATCATGTCGTGGTGGTCCTGAGGTTAAGGCGCCCGCTTCTCGTGCATGAGAGTGCGGGTTCGAAACCTGTCAAGTACCAATGTGACTTTTTCCGAGTTGTATGTACTTTCTTTGATTATTTAGACATCGCTGACATACGGTGACGGAAAACATCTTGAGGAAACTTGAACTTGTAATTTCGCCTTGAGCTAGGCAAATCTTCTCCTTATATCCTTATAGGCTGATGATATGATGAGAAGTTTTGTATTTTCATTAGGGTAATTTTTATTTCTTTAAAACACAAAACCAACCACTGTATCTTTATTCCAGAAACAAACAGTAAATTTAAATCCATCCTCAAGTCCTGTACCAAAATAGTTTCCACGTTATAACAAGTAACAGATGCAGGATCTAAAATAACTTGGCTAAGTGAAACTAATTACGGAAATCTGGCCTTGTAGGCGGGAAGTAACTTGTGTATATATTTGTATCTACGTGTGTGTGTGTATGTGTGGGTTGTAGAGAAGCTTTGATATTTATATATTTAATAGACACACAGCTATTTTTTTTACTTGATAATAGGCTAACCACACAAAAATATTTTTTCGGATTGAACCAATAGATCGAGTGTTCAATAAATCAAACAAACTCTTTAGATTTATAATATTGAAAAATATAAATTTAATTCATTGGAACTGACCCAGATAATTCTTGAAATGTTAAAAGTTTACTAAGTATTTTTTATAGAAATTCGTGTCGGATTGAATAAAAATTAATGCAGTCATTAAACACTCATTACATTATTAATTTTATCCTTTTTGTACTTTATATGACACGATCTTTTGCGTACTTTTCAACTCGGCTATGAACTGTAATACAAAGGGAAAAACGAAAATCAATTTCTTAATAAAACTTATATGTATTAACGAGTTTGGAAATCAAATTCACCTATCACAAAATTCCAAAAAGTAATTTTCTTTAGTAAAACAATTGTATTTTTTATATAATTCACGAAAAATAACATTTATATTCGATGTAAAAAGTTATTACTATGCCATAATGTTGATACCACTGCCAACATAGTATAAATCAAAATCGCATTTTCTGTCCCTTGCCGATCTATATGTATGCTTGAACCTTTAAAAGTACGCAACGGATTTTGTTTTTTTTTTGTCATAGGTCGGCAATTGAGCAGACGAATTACCTGATGGTTAGCTTAGCGTCGCCCATGGACACTTGTACCTAACGTCAAAGGAGTTACTACTTGAAGTAACTACGCGTTACCGGCCTCTAGTGGGTTATAATGGATTTAAGGATAGGGGGATATTTGAGGATGATGAGCAGAATGGGAGGAATTGAGCCTACGGTAACCTGTCTCTTACGACGAAACATTACGTAAGTGTTACTCTACGCCGGTTTTCTGTGAGGCCGTGGTATCATTCCGGTCGAGCCGGCCCATTCGTGCCGAAGCTTAGCTCTCCCACACTTGTTTTTTTAACCGATAATGATTGAAGAGGAAGATTTATACGATTCAATAGTTGAGAAATTTAGAATCAGCATTGCAAAGCCGGGGCGAGTCGCTAGTTTCGTATAAATAAGCCAATTGTGACGTCAGAAAATCGTCGCGCTTGACATTAATTCAGAAAATGTCTTAAATTCTACTTTACTTGGATACTTTACTTACGTACTTGGACTTAGTTACATTTAGGTAATAAGTGACTAGCCAACTACTAAAAGCGGTTTATAACTAAGCATCACGAAGGTTTCCTAGAATCCATCCTAGTTCAAATTAATCCCTACACGTGCCTTACGTACTAATATCATAAATAGGAAACTGAGAGGTTTTCGATGTTTGTCTGTATATGACCTAAATTTTGGACATGAAATAGCATAATTTTTTAACGAAAAAAAACTGAATTCAAAAAGTGAAGTATATACCACAAAAAATAATATTTAACAAGTAGGTATTTTATAACCTTGAATTCAATTTGAGCAAATGACAAGAATTATCAAAATTGGTTTATAAATAATGGAGGTATAGGTAAACAAAGAAAAAAAGAACATATTATACGGTCCAATAATTAAGACAGCCAGTCCGACTTATTTGGAAGTCGGCTAACAAAAAATATGTGGTGAACCAAAGTACCGATGTGATTTTGTCGAAATTATAATAATATGGTACTTTCTAATATTATTAATAATCCACGGAAAAAAATTGTGAGAGAAAATTGGGAATGATTTCCTGTTAAAAAAAGAGTCATTATAATGTTGCCGTACGTGAAAACTACTGAATGAATTTCAATGAAAATTGGCATGACTGAGATAGATAATAGTTTGTAATAACATATAAGTTATTCTTATCAAGGTTTTTAGCTAACTTGGTCGAAACCCCTGGTAGAATGGGTCGGCTCGACCGGAGTGATACCATGGGCGGCGCTGATTGCTTATAAGCAAGTTTTGTCGATAATCTAATGGAGAAAATTTATATCTTTTTTTATTTAAAAAAAAAAAAACGTTGCCCCACACTTAGATTTTCTCATGTGTCATGGGTGCGTTTACAAACATACAATTTCACATATTCATTCATACATTCAGGAATCGAATCCGCGACACGTCGTACGGCAGCCGTGTTCGTGTCTTGCCCAGCAAACGCGGCAACCATGCAGTCAAAAACTCACCCTCGATATATGAAAACCAAATTTCTTTAAGAAAGTATCAACTTAAGTAAAGTCACAGGTAAATCTAGTACATCAATTGTATAATATACAACTGTAATTATTTATGTACAAATCGCGAGAGCTGAGAAATTCACAAGTATCTTATAAACTTGAATTATTAAATCCACGCGATGGTTTCATCCGTCTATGTTTCCAACTCTAATTAAGAAAGTTTATCCAAATAGAATTATAATTAATATACATTCCGGAAATGTTTATAGACCACTCGATTTGTAAGATCATCATGGTATGAGTTTGTCAATTAGAAACCGGTTTGAAAAGTTTTTAAAACTCAGACAAGAGACCAGACGGATTACCTGATAGCAAGCAATCAGCGCCGCCCCTGGAACCTCGTAATACCAAAGGAGCGAGGAGAGACTACAAGTGCGTTGCTAGCCTCTTGTTGGATATTAGGGATTTGAGGATTGAGGGTGAAGGATTGGGGCTCCGGTAACCCCACTCGCACGGCAAAACACAACGGAAGTGTTGTTTTACGCCGATTTTCTGTAAGGCCGTGGTATCACTCCGGGCGGACCGGTCTATTCGTATCGAAACGTGATTCTCCCACACTATTATACCTACCAACACTAAATAACATTTCTTCCTTCACATCAATTCAAAAAAAATCCTTTCACC